TTTATTATTAAAATCAGTTTTTCATATTTCACATTTTTTATTTTTGGGAACTATTTTGAAAATTGATGCACAGGAGTATTTATAGTAAACCAATAAATTTTCAAATAATAAGCAATATTATATCTACCCAAGTGGGAATTTAATATCAACGAGGTACTGGTCCAGTACCATTTTTTAGTATTTAATACTGACTCGATACTGAATGCCAGTACTGATACCTGAGGAATGCTGGGATGATAGCAACGGGCCAAGATTCGTAATACATTACTGTTAAGTGTTACGGTACGGGATAACAGTATTATAACAATACCAAAAGTCAGTACATATATTGTACTAAATATCGATACCGATTCTTGGAACTATTACAATACGGGATTACCGTACAGGATGATAGTATTGTAACAGTATTAAAAATCAATGCATACGTTGTACCAAATATAGATATTGTTTCTTCGTATTATTACAGTATGGGATTAGTATATGGGATGACAGTATCGAAACAGTACTAAAAATCAGTACAATTATAGTAACTACTGTATTACTTACTTTGGCATTTTGAAACATTTTCTTATTGTTAGTCGAAACTTCATTGTTCCAGGACATTCTATAATTATGAAAATATCTATAAAACGGATAGATGCACTTTTTACTATTCTTTTCAAAATAGTGAATAAACGCGTTGCTTATTAAGGCAAACTTTAGTGCGCGAATTAGGAATATTGACATAAGACTGCGTATATGTGTACATAATCAATGAATAAAGTTTTGTATACTTTAGAAGTTTTCTTAGTTACGGAAGAAAAATTATTATTAATACAAGAGATATTCTTTCAAAGATTATAAAAAAAAGTATAAAAAATGTTTTCTTTCCGAACACTTTAATTGCATCTTCTTTCATCCAGATATCTCAATTTTTTATTAATGAGAAATTAGCTTGAATTTTCTAAGGTGTCACGATTTTATTTGACAACACTGAAAACTTACTTTTCTTCAGAGGCAATCTTATTTCAAACATCGTTATATCATGAGAATTACTTTGTCGTTAATTCGCTGTTCCTGCACACAGGAGATGGAAATAAGTTTATTATACTGTAGCATTTGGAAGTTATAATAGACTTCTGTTTACCTTCATTGGATTATCTGTAGTTATATTCTTCTTTATTCTGGCAAAATGCCTGCAGGTAAAATTGTAACAATCTCTCAATAAATATATTAGCGATATATATTACTCTTTCTTCTTTTTTCCAAGAAAATTCTTACTTATCTGTTGTGTATATTACACAATAGATAAGTATATTACATATGTGTTAATTTACATTCTACGCTCATAAAAATAGTTGTTTATGTTATATATTTCTATTACTTTTGTCATAATTAGATTGTTATAATTACAAAGTATTAATACCTTTTATTATAAAATTCAATTCAGTAAAATTTTAATAATAAGTAGCTTCATAATAACTTCATAATCATCTAGATAATAGCTTCATCCGTTGATTTCTTATTGCTGTTACAATTCCTCATTAATACAGGTTCTCGTAAAAGGAGATTGCATCAATTTAAACTTTCACGGTTGTTCTTACCAAGCGGAATAAAACGCGTTTCCTTTTTATTAATAAAACAAAGCTTTCGATGTCAAAACAATAAATAAAACAACATGATGGGCAAATCCGAGAGTCGTCGCAGGATATAATTAAGAAATTAATAATATATCTACACTCTCTCAAGTGTATTTTTAATCTGTATTTATTAATATTACATCTGTATTTATAATCCAATGTAATATTAAACTAGATTATCAAGCTTATCAACATTCGATTTATCAATTTTCTGTCAGCGAATTTGATCTCTCGGAAAGTCACTCATTTAACATCGCAACTTACGAATATAGGTATTGTAATTCTACCGTCACTACGATCCAAAGGATTTATTTACATCTGAAGATGGCTCGATCCAGAAGCCAAAACATGTCATGTGCGCAATTTAAACTGTTTTAATTATATTTTCAAAATTTCTTTTTTATGTATTAATTTCTTAATTATATCCTGCGAGACGACTTTCGGATTTGCCCTTTGTTTTTCTTATTTATTGTTTTGTTTCTATCATTTGACAATTTTGGTATCATAAACTATAATGAATATAAGTTTCTTTATAAAGAGAAGAAACATTTTCATTAAGTCATAGTAACAATACAATTCGGGCTCTCGTGGTACGTTTCTCGCAAGAAAGTGATTCGCGGATTGAGTCTCACATGACAATTCGTCGACAATTTCCAACTGTAATACACATTCCTTCACTGTTCGCTTTTGCTAGAAAAGATGAATTCTTTTATAGTAAAGGAAAATGGTACGAATAAAACAAATCACTTGTGTGAGGTAACTTTTTGTGCTTCCATCGTGTTTTTGTAACGAAGAAATGCTTTATTCATCGCTTTCGAACTTAAAGAATGCGTGAGAAAATTACTTCTATTTTCTGTTATATGCTTTATACAATAAAATCAATTGAATTTAACGGTACTCGAATAGTATTCTTTCTGTCGAATAAGAGTAATAACAATTCTTATTAATATAAAGTTTATAATTTTAGTAACGTTTATTAAAGTTTCGTAAAATTGTAAATACTTCTATAAATTTTGGATTTAATATTATAAAAATTAAGATATGCTTTGTAATAAATGTGTAACGCATATGCTATATCTGTGATACAGACTGCAAACGTAATCGATAATGTGCATAAACAGCCGTCCTGTGGAACGTCCTAATTTGCATTATGACATCATTTTATCGAATTAATTAGTGCCGTTACATCGCGCATCGCCGCACTGCTTCAAAGTGCAACCGACAAAGTCAAACATTAAACTATGCCTGCGATACGCCACCTTTTGAACATTTTCACTGTATGTACGTCACAGACTTTTGCTCTTATCATTATCAAACTGGCGATAATTAAATTAAAGTAAAAATAAATATATAGGCCCGTATTCAGAACGCGCTAACATGCTATAGTTTACGTCACGTATACTATAGAATTTCAGAGATAAAAGGGCGCGCTTTGATCGATAAAAGTGCGTTCTGAATACAGGCCATAGTATATAAAATAAGTATATTATGTATAGTTCCTTTATTTTATAATTATTTACTTCTCTATCTCTCTCTCTCTTTCTCTAATTTTTTTAATAAACTAACAGCTTTTTTGTGAATTACGACTTTATGTAATGTGCTAATACTTTTAAAATTAAAATGTATTTAGTTAAGATTATATATTAGTAATGTAAACTTTAATCACGAGTTTCAAAAAATTGATATTGATAAAAACTGCAATTGATATTTTATTTGATACTGCAATTTCGTGTTTTATTATATCTTCCAATGTTAATTATATTCAGTTTTTCAATAAAATATTGAAGAGAATTTTGCTGGTTTCAAAAAAATAAATTTGAAACAAAATTAAAGTAAATTTAGTATAAAATTATAATAATTAATATATAAATTAGCGTAACAGCATACAAATGTATATATCTATCAAATATATGTTTATTTAACATCAAAACTGTTTCATTAAAAAAAAAATTAGCAAAAAATTTCATTTGTAAAACAGTAAATTGATTTGACTTTGAGAGAATGCTATCGGATGTAATTCAATAATTGTTTACATGCGTTGTAAGCGGAAGTGATGATCGAATTATGCTGCCAGGAGCTCATATTCGTATTAAATAAACAAATAAACGTGAAATTTGGCCGTCATATTATTGGTAGAGATGCGGGACGCGAATATGTTGTTAATTAGCAGTTAAATTACTGCGCAATCCAGACATTTCGGTTGTGAAATACAGATAAATTCATAAAATTGCATTTTGATGATTTAATGAAATATTTCCGTATATTTTTATATGCACTATATTTTACATTCTCGTTCTCCTTCTCTTCTACCTTCCGTCCTTTTTTCTCTCTCTTCTCTCTTCTTTCCTCTCCTCTCGGTTATACACTCGACAGAAGCAGTATTTAGAACTATAGAGAAAAAATAGGATATTAAAAAATGGATTACCATATATAAATATTTTATATAAATGTCTGATTGTTGATGAACGTTTAACATTTAAAAAAATCCGCATTTGTTGCAATCCGCGTATGAATAATAATTGGGTATTTTATGTTATACATATATTACACGACATTCTTTACAATTACAATACATTGAGTGTAAATAATGCGTTGACTATATTGCATCAATATTATAAAGTTTTTTTTCGAGGAAATGTGCTTTTAAAACGTGAAATAGTTTCATTCAAGAGTTGCACGAAAAACGAAGTCAAATAAGATAAAAATATATTTTTGCGGAAATTTGTATTAATTAATAGAATACAATTATAAAAAAAACGAACAATTATTTCTCTCTCTCTCTCTCTTAATTAGAAAAAAATATTCTTAGCTTTAATTTCTGATTCTTTATTAGAGATTTATGTCTCAAAGTTTAAGTTTTTATAATAACAAAAAATAACGAATTATTGAATTAAATATTCTATTTATAATAACAAAATCAAACTTTTATTGTTACTTTAAATAAAATTTTTTATTTAAAACACTTATATTACAAAAATTTAATTAGAGAAGTAAATTCTTAATTCTTAAACAAGTTGAATATATAAAGTTTTGTTATATAAATATTTGCAAGTATAAAGAAATTTTAAAAATTAAGTTTATTGTATCAATCTATTTTAAATATGTTTAGAATCATATAATAAAGTGAAAAAAATCTATATATTTCGAAAAATATTACATTATAATAAATACATTACAAAACCAAGTCACTTAATTAAGATACAGTTATATATATATATTAATCTTAAAATTCATTTCATTATAACAAAAACAAAAATCAAAGGACATGGGAAAAATATAAAATGAAAAAAACATTAAACATCAAAAATGTATTATGTAATCAATTCTAATATTATTTTAATAATATATTTCATATATTCAATAATATATTTCAGTGTTACAATTTTACAATTTCATTATCAATCGTGTTCCAATATCCAGCTTTATTTGATCATACTTTACTTTTTACCAATTTACTTCCTACTTTTTATTTTTTACCTCCTAGTAATGATAGTATCGTAGGCTAAAAAAATATAAACTTATATAAATTATTCTATAATAATAAAAATATAATATATCCGATTAAAATAATGTTTAATTATTCTGCACAAGATTTATGTATTGATTCTAAATTCAACATAGAATACTTCTGTATCTTCAAAGATCGAGTGTCAGAAGCGATATGAATACACACACACACACACACACACACACACACACACACACACACACACACACACACACATACAAATATTTCTATCTAAGATGGATACAGTATCCATAAGATCCCAATACTATACTTGATCATCTAAAATACCTATTTCAAATATGATTTTTCGACTGGAAACATTAATTTTATATCACATTTGCAATTTGAAACATTTTTTGTCAGAGGTAAATATAATATCAATCACTTACGAGTAGAGGTTTCCCGGTAACTATGATTGTCATCAACGTTGCAATTATCGCAACAATGGCTATTAACTTTAAAGTATTCATACTATCCAGTTTAAATTAAATGAGTGCTGTATATTGCTCTTAGGCGATGCTTTCTATTAATTTAAAAATATATGATTTTGAATCAAGTAAGTAACAGATATATACCAGTAAGACATGATGTACGTACATAGTTCAGGCTGAAAGTTCTTTATTAATTTAAAAACATGATTTTAAATCATGTAAGTAACAGATATATACGAGTAAGACTTGAAATTGTATGTACATATACATATATCAGAAATAGTAAATCTCCTAACGCACTAAAAAAAAAATTATTATCATATTTAAATTTATCATTACTTGAATATGCGTCCAAGGATAAACATAAAATATGGTTTTTTATAATAAACGTAAGTTCTGACAAATATGTGTAAAAAATGTTTACTTATACATATATCTAAATCTTTATTTTTTTATTAAAATGTGTGTGGATTATCAAACAAGGAAGTGGATAGAAATATAGTTTTGATAAGAATTGACAGTTTTTTGAATGCACGATTGTAAGATACACAAGAGACATAACTCTTTTGACACATAAAATTTTTATCAAGCAGTTACAACTTTAGTAGTTATACGTAGCGTATTACGGTAGGGATATCTCTAGAAATATTTCTATAAAATGTTTGAAAACTTCTATCATAAAACAAATTTGCAATAATTTACGAATAGATTTGAAATTAATTAAATTGCAGAATTATATATAAAATTTAATAGTAAAAAAGTTTTAAAGAGATTAACGGGTATTGAAATAAAATATAATTATAATGACATTTAACAAAGAATACAAAAAGATAGATAATGAGAGACAGGATGAATAAAAAGAGGTAAGAGTTAAAAAGAGTATGAGAGAAAAAAAATCGATAGAAAGCACTAAAACAATAAGTATTTAGTCGAGCCCAACCCATTATTCACAGACATGTCACTTTTGATAAGAAACAACTGATCTATTTTAGATAATAAAGATTCTAGATAACTATTCGATAAATTCCACTAATCTTAAAAACTTATTCTTACGATATAAAAGCAAAAGTTATTCTCGGTTTAACAGGAAAAAAGCAAATTTAGCATTGCAATATCTGGAGACACTGCCGTGGCTACTTTACGCGAGCCGGCGAGATGCGGCAGATTAAGATTATCAGATTTTATAACGACTGAACTGATCAAGTTCTATAGACTTAATCGATAGCCATTACTTAAATTGTATAATAAAAGTGCTTTTATTTTTTTTTCTACGTGCCCTACGAGCGGAAATATCTAATTATAATGTTATTATCTACATCTCGATTGCCAACATGTATTTTCACGTACATCCCGTTTACCTACAGTTCGATTACCTTATACATGTTCTATTGCCTACAGCCCGATTGCCTTATTATTTATTTTTGTTTACATTTATTTTGGTAATTATTCGAAATAAATCATAACTCATGTGGACAGTGGAATGTGTAGACAGTAATGCGTGAGTTCGGGGCGGCTACGTCACCCCGACAAATGGACCTAACACATCCTAGCAGCTTGGAGCCTAACCGCCTAGAAGTTACAGCGTAGATTTACTCGGAATATTCCTAACCTATCAAGACAGTGGGGTGTGGGAACAGTCTTTTTAGAAGCAGTAAAAACCCATTTGGAATTTGTAGTGTGAAGATAAGATTCAGATTTTCTTAAGTGTGGGACCTATTCTGTATAGTTACCAAAATAAATGTAGACAATCAGACTATAGGCAAAAATTAATGTAATCAATCGGAATGTAGGTAAAAATATATGTAGGCGAAAATACATGTAGACAAAAATAAATGTAGGCAATCGAGCTGTAAGCAATAATACTTGTAGGCAATCGATCTGTAGGTAAATGGGATGTAAAAGTAAACGGTGCTGTAGGCAATCGATTTGTAGCAAACTCCTCCCAAGTGATAGCATAAGTTTATAATAAATTATTTTAATTAAATTTTCTTTATAAGCCAACTTTAAAATTATATGTATTCTACTCATTTTTCAGGTAGGACTTGTTACACAATCTTATTTTATTTTGTTTTTAATTTTACCTTTATAGATAATTTTTTTATTATCTATAGTTTTTCTTCTATTTGTTGCGAAATCTATAAAATTATTGACATGTTACATTATGTAAAATCATTGATAACACTTTAGAATGCTCTAGTTCAGTTTGCATATGATAGTTTTCATAAAAAAAGGATTGCACTTTTTTCTCAACATTTTCTTTAATGAAAATACTCTACTTTCTGTAGCGATTCTTCTTAAAGAAACTTCTACAAAATGTATACCAGTAATATGTATTTCAGTATTTAATACGTACTATATTCCTTGGTACATTACGTTCAGTAAAAAAAAAGTACTATTATACATATATACACACGGTATCGATTATGTTATATTGATAAGGCCATAAAAGTCATTACACCATTTTTTTTTTTAGGAAAGGTAGTTTGAAAATGTGAGAGAGCTTCATTCGGTTTGCGAGAAAAGTAAAGGTAAAAATGATGAAATATTAGTTTTGCGGAATTGTACATTTTTTATGACTAGCGGGATATTATTTGAAAGACAAGAAAGATTTTTTTCTTCCTCTCTTTTCCTAATTAATAAAAATTATCTGAAAATTTAATTTTCCATTTTTTCACTAGACGTTTATACTTAAAAATTTTAGTAAAAAAAATTATAAACTGAATATTTCATATAATAGAATTGACAGAATAAAAATTAAAGATTATAAACATAAATAAAATATTATGGTTCAACAATAATAAAATTAGTAATGGCAATTAATAAGAAGAGTTACTGGCTAAAACAATTTAATTTTAGCTCGTAGCCCTTATTGTCATTATTAAAGTATATTAAATATATAACAAGATTAAAATTTATTATATAATTCATTTTAATATTATTTTAATATTACATCTGTTGTGGTGTAAATTTTTTACAATTTCACAATCAATCGCATTCCAATATCCAGCTTTACTTCTTACTTTAGTTTCTAATGATGCCATTTTTGTTTCAAATCTGAAAATATTTCTTTTTCAGCCTGAAAAAAAATATAAACGCATATAAATAACTCTAGGAAATAGAAATATAATATATTTTATCTCAAAATATTATTATAAATAATCTTAAAATAATTACAACACCTTTTTATATAACCATATAGTATTATACGCTTAGATAATTAATTATTTAGATATAGATAAGATAAATTACACAAAAATATATCTTACAATTAGATAAGATAAAGGTGATTAACTTTACATTAAAATGAAAGGTAAAATTAAAAAAATGTTTATTTATATAATTTTATTTTTAAATAGCTATTAGGTAGTAAAACAATTTAAGATACAAAAAACGATTTCATATTTTTATAAATTTTTATTTTTTAAGAACAAAAGTGTTTTGAATATTTCGTTCTGATAAACGATTTCTATGTAGAATTAATATTTAATTGTCACACAACTAAAAAAGCACTCTACTGATGATGGCAATGATGTATTATATTAAAAAAAAATTTGTATGACTTATAAATATAAGTTAAGAATATCTATTTTCTTAGGTTTATTTTCTAGATATGAAAGTACTTCAATGTTGTTTTGAATAACTGTGTCAAACTAATCTCAATTTTTTGTCTATTATCACGAAAAGAATTGACAACCACCGAAAGACCGCCTAACCTACTGACGAAACTTGCGCGAACGTCGCGATGCCGAGAACTTGCGCGGATTTGTAGGTGTAAGGCTTAGTTTTTTGTTTATAAGACACTTGCATTAAAAAGGACCTTTATATTAGGCCGTTGCATAGAAATTTCTTACTCAATAATCTTGTACAATCTTAGATAATTTGAAAAAGGTAATAACATTTCTTTTATCTAAGATCACACAGCTAAAGATAATCTATATATTTTTAATAATCTAGATAAAGATATCATGAAGCAATTTCTTCATCTTCAGATGTGATTATTTAGATAACGAAAAACTGACCATATATCGTTGTTATTTCTTTCAATAATTATTCTATATACAAGATTTATGAATTTATTTTAAATTCAACATAGAATACTTTTGTATCTTCAAAGATTGGGTATCGGAAGTTATAAAAACACACGATGCGCGCGCGTGTAGAGAGAGAGAGAGAGAGAGAGAGTACATATATAAAATAAAAGAAAAAAAGATGCTTGAAAAGAATAATTTAAGATCATATATTAGAAGAATTTAAGATCATGTTACGAATTTGTACAAAAACGTAATTATAAATTATATATCATTTAAGAAAGTTGGAATATTACTAAACTATTAACATAATAAAATCGAATTTATTAGTTACTTACGTGTTTAGGTTCTCCCAACACTATGGTTGCCATCAATATTGTAATCACCACAACAAAGGTTACTGGCTTTAAAGTCTTCATAGTGTGTAGTTTAAATGAGCTATATATTGCTCTTAGGTGATGCTTTCTATTAATTTAAAAATATATGATTTCGAATCAGGTAAGTAACAAATATATACCAGTAAGACATGTTGTACGTACATATATATATATGAAAGATCGTGAATATCCTAAAGCGCTAAACAAATTATTATTTATTATTTGCGTATGATTACTTGAATACGTCAAACACACCATTCCAGCTAAGAATGGACATAAAATATATTTTTTTATAATAAATTCTGACGAATATGTACGAAAATGTATCCATATTCAAATATTTATTGTTTTTATCAAAGTACGCGTGGATAAACAGGGAAGTAAATAATGTTGTAACTTTGATATGTTGATTATTCTTTTTTTGAATACACGATTAGATGACATCAACTCTTTTGACGCATAAAATTTTTATCAAATAGTCGTAATTTTAACAGTTATATGTAACATACTATGATAAAAGTCTGTCAAATATTCCTAGAAATAAAAAAAATCTGCACATTTTTTCGTAATTAAAACGCCAACATATTTGGACAACATAAAATTGGATAACTTACAAATAGATTTGAAATTTATTAGATCGCAGAATTATATGTAAAGTAAGTTTAATCGTAAAAAAAGAATGTTTAAAAGATTAATAGATGCTTTAATAAAATATTATACAATTGTAACTCAAAGAACACACAAGAGTTAACAAAGAATCAAAATTACATCAAAATAATATTATGTTGATCCTTAAAATCACTAAACAATCAAACTATGTAATGAAAAATTATCATTTTTAAATAAATCAAAATTCAATTTCCTTGTGGACTCTCCAAATTTAAACCAGGAATTCTAGTAATAAAGGGCGAGTGAGTACAGCGTTGTTGTTACACAAAGTAATAAGAGAGAAGTGAATTTCTTCAAATTACTAATTTATTCAATCAATATAACAAAGGAGAAGGGCCATCAATAAGATGGGTTCTTGGACTCATGATCGCTCAGTCTCAAAGTGTCGTTTTACTCTTCTGTCCAATTAACCTTATAAGGCTAAAATGGTTATTTTAAAAAATTATTTGATGCGGAGGAATAATCATCTTTAAGCTTCCATTTTACATAGATTTTTGTATTTTAGACTTTAGAACAAATCAAGATGCATTTCATATTCTAAATATTGTTCGCGCAAGATCAAACTTCCCTAAAAACTGCACATATATAGTGTGACAAATAATTTTTAAGACTGGCGCCATATCTCAGCTAGTGGCACTATCTGTTGAACATTAGCATCACTAGAAAGATACATTTTTCTTCTTTCTAAGCACCCAGTTTATGCAAATCGGATGACAAATGATAAAGTTATGACAGGTCCTCCTAAACAAGTTTTAAGTCGATGTTGAAATTTTATCACGGCACAAAGAGCGATCATTAAATTCAACGCAAAACTTGATAAAAGTGCATCAAAAACATTCCGGTGGATACAGCAAGTATATGGCGATGCTTGTTTAAGTCGATCAAATTTTTTCATGTGGCATTAATGATTTTTTGATAGTAGAGAGTCTAAAAGATGATGAACATACGGGAAGGCCAATTTTAATTCGAAAACCAGAAGTAACCGAAAAAGTAAGAGATTTTGTTGCAAATGACCGCAATGCTTCACTGAAAATGATGAGGCTCTGAACATCAACCGAGAGACGATTCGGATTATTCACGAGGATTTGAGTAAAACAAAGGTCTGTGCTAAATTTGTTCCACACACTTTGACGCGCCATCTCACAATTCACTCATTGTTCGTCAATTTTTGGCCCGAAATCAAGTCTGCTCAATTATCCGCCATATTTACCTGATTTGGCTCCATGCGACTTCTCTTTATTCCCAAAATTGAAATTAAAATTGAAAGAATGCTTTTTTGAAGATATTCCGACCATTTAAACAGCTTTAAAATGAGCTGCATCATGCATTTGAATTACTTTTGAATCACTGTAACAAGTGTATTAAAGCAAGAGGAGATTATTTTGAATAAATAAAACAATAAGCATATGAGAATATTTTGTTTCTTATAGGCCGTCTTAAAAATTATTTATCGCACTGTGTATAAAACAACACACTTTGAGACTGATCGGTGTGTGATGGGCCCAAAAACCCATTTTTTTTCCTTTAGAATATTTTGACTCATTTGGAATCTTCCTCAGTTAATATAAATTTAATATTCTTCCTTTATGATATATTTATCATTCGAGTCTCACATCAGATTTACAAATTTGTTGAAACCTCTGTTAAATTTAACATGGCGATAAATGAATGTAATTTAATTCGTTAATGAACAAAATTAGCAAGTGACTTACCTTACAACAACACAAAATAAATTTGCGCACTGACACCGATGATTTACACCAAAATTATGTACAAATTCTTAATGACATAAAACCGTGTTGATGTATTTAGTTGTATAATGTATCTTAATGTTTTTATTTAATTGTTTCTATTATAACGCTCTTGATAATTATATTTACTTTTAATTTCAACTTATGTACCTTCTCTTTATATTTACATTGTCAACACACATGTTTTGTAACATAAAATTGTTAGTTAAAGATTAGACTCTCAAGTGTATAGCACGTTACACTTAACAAGTGATGTAATATAATAAAGTAATGTAATTTGCGATGTAAAATCTACTCATTGTTTTTTATTAAATTAATCGATTCAATGTTTCAAGACATTTTCTTTGTATTGATGTGAGGTGAGTCATTTGCTAATTTTATTCATTAACGAATTTAATTACATTCATTTATCGCCATGTTAACAGATATTTCAACATCAAATCTATAAATCTGACGAACAATAAATACAAAGGAAGAATATTAAATTTATATTAGCTAAGTGAAACTCCAAAGTGAATCCAAACGTTCTAATTTGTTGTATTGATGGAATAAATTAGTAATTTGAAGAAATTCACTTCTCTTATTACTTTGCATAATAACAACAACGCTGTAATCTTACTCGCCCTCTTTATGTATATATCACCGGAATTCATGGTTACCATTTTGATGTCAAAGTACATTATTTTAACGTGAAAAAAGAAGTAACGTGTTCAATAATAAAAATTCCATGTCACAATATTCTAATACATATTATAATTAAAAATTAGGTAAGATAATCTGCAATGACCAAGAAAACCAACTGATCTTTATTATAACAGATAAGATAATGTCGGTGGTAGAGAATGTCAAGAGAGGAAAAAGAGCTTAAAAATTACGAAAATAAATGTAAACAAAAATAAATAATAAGGTAATCGGGCTGTAGGCAATAGAACATGTAGGCAATTGAGCTGTAGGCAAAAATACATGTATAGCTAAAAATAAATGTAAGCAATCGGGATGTAGACAAAAATACATGCTCGGTAAAAATACATATGTAGGCAATCAAGCTGTAGGCAATAATACTTGTACGCAATCGATCTGTATAGGCAAATGGGATATAGGCAAACAGAGCCTCCTTTTAATATGGCTCTTCATATCTCAAAATTATCATCTTTGATGCTCGTGTAATTACGTTTTGGCAAATTAATCAAACAAGATTTAATTCAATACACTCGAAATCAAACTTGAATATTTCGCATATCGCAACGATATTAATGCTGTATATTTTCGTTGACTTGGGTAACAAATGCTCTTCAATGATTAATAAAAATCATTGCTGTGTTGTTATATACATTTATTGCTTTGTTATTTTATACATCTAAAAAATAAAAATTATATTTGAAAAAATTTTATTCATTACTATTAGGTCTATAATTTAATTCTCGGACCATATATTCAATCGACTACAATATTTATTTAAATTATATTCTTGTTTTCGCCATACTATCATTTTGAAGTGTTATCCTTAAGTTTTAAAATAAAATATAGGTGTCTCGGTGCTGCTAATCATACTTCAAAAAATAGTAGTGAAAACTATGTCGTTCGAAATGTAGCATTTGAAACACTGCCTTGCGTTCCAGCTAAAGAAAAATGTCGCTTAAGCTTAAGAAATGATTTGCTCAACTTTAGATAAAATATTGTTTCTGTATCAAACAGACACACTCTGTATTGTACAGTACATGTAAAAAGTGATTCCAAAGATTTCGTGATAAAAATTTTAATTTTTTTCTTCATTGAATTCATCGACTCGAAACAACCATTTTTTTCGAAACGGAATCCGACAGTTGCCTCAAAAATGACAAAAATGTGTAGAAAATGAAGAAAATTATTTTGATTAGGTTCATTCTTTTATAATTTTACATCAAAAACTTGGTAAAAATAGTCGATTTATGAAAATGCTTTAAAAAAAATAAACACCATTACGCATGATATTTTATTATCGTTAGTGTAACATATTAATTCTAATTTAATAACTAAGATAATTACAGAGATACAACGTAGAATTATGGATACAGATTATTTCATACACAAAATTGGTATAAAATAAAAATTATCAAATTAGTATTCAATCTTACTCATCACACCATACTTTATAACACATGCTATTTGAGCTAGACTTATATCTTCGTTGGATCCTGATTTTTCACCTTCTGTAATTAAAAAAGAGAGGACAGAAAATTATAAAATTTAATTCTAAATTATATATATATATTTTTTTTTAAATAAATTTTATTTGAAATATATATAGGTATATATGTGTGCGCGTATGTGTGTTATGGGCGATTCGATTAATTTGAGAATTATACATAATGGTCGGTCCGGTATATAATATATAATTCCCAATTTGTTCAGTCAATATAATTAATAGAAAAGAATTATTTAAATTTCTCGGTAATTACGTATATTTCTTCATGCTAAATAATTATTTTGATAAATTATCTTGTTATGTTACGTGAGGAAGTACGCGAAAAAATCTTATTTATTTAAAGGACAAGGATTTAGCTGTAGGGGTAAGAAGAAGCAACGTAATTCAAAATGTCATGATAGTTTATCTTGTTGAATAACATTAGTTAAATATTATTATTGAATTCATATTATTTTTTATATAACTAATCGATTTATTCCTCTGTCATTTTATTGTTCTGAATATTTTCAGTACTGATAGAAGAAATTAAATAAATAAAAAATATTTAAATGCATGAAATAATGATAATAAGTAATATGTTGAGATTGTAGAAAACAGACTGCCTTATTCTTTTAATTTTCAATCGTTCAATCTATTAACCACATTTCCCACTTATAAATGAGCATAATTCATATTGACCGGCTATTTTGATTAATTTGGACTTAATCCTCAAATTGCCTATAACACATATATTAATTACCTGTATCTATGCACCACCCAACGGTCTTCTCGCATGATTTCACGTTGTTTTCAGTCATAACATCTTCGCAATATCCAACACCTTTTTCTTTGACTACTTTATCTTCTTTATTAATCTTAAATAATGATCTTATTTAATATAAAATTAATTTTTTTATTTAATTTTAAATTTTCTTTCTTTGTGCCAATTAAAATATATAATCAAATATACTAAATTATTAACTCCAATTTTATTGTTATTAAATTATTGTATTCAATCTAATGAACTTTTTTTTATAAAATTATAGTATAATATGTGAAAAGCACCATATGTAAAAATTCTTAGCAAAAGTAGATAAAATGAAGTTACATAATTAAGGAATGTATTCTAATATCTCATTACATGTATATGAATGTATGTTTTTATTTTTATATAATTTCTATTTTTAATGAATACGTACCACGTGAACCCTTTTCAGTGCACAAAACCATACATAAACATCTATGACGGGATCGACTGCAATATATATTACAAATTTATTAATATATAATTTTAAATATAATATCAAATCTTATATTACTGTAAGTTGTTACTGTTTATCTATTACCGGAAAATTTCAAATTTAAAAGCATTAATACAAATTATAAAATACTTGATTATTTATTATAGTTAAAATTTATTTGAATCAGTGTATATCAGGTATTTATTAATTTAAATGTATACTTTGTATTGCTCTGGGAAAAGTTCTAATAAAAAAATTATAACAATTTATTAATGCTGGACTTCTCCTACATTAGAACTGTGCAGCTAACGACAATTTTTACTAATAAAATTTTAATAAAAAAAATACGTTATTAGAAATTGGTTTTTTTTTAAATTTTATTTGTCAAATACAACTAATTTTTTATAGAAACTTAATATTCAATATTTAATGTTTAATATTTCATACTTACCCATTAGATTTCCGCATTGCGGCAATTTCTCTTTACATTCCTTTATGTTCTTATGTAGAGTTTTTAATCCTTTAGGATTTGTATTTGCATAAGCTACCTAACGTTTAAAAAAAACTGATCATATTTATGTATAAACATATATAAGTACTTTAGTTTTAAAAATTGTTAAATATATGCACAGTAATTTTTTTTTAGTTGTAATAAGTATTTAATATGTATATTTAAATAAATCATAATATATAATATTCATATTTATTGAAATATATATTTTTTAGACAATTTTAATTAAATTTGTTTAATATTCTATATCAGGGATTCTTAAAGTGTGAATTGGATCGGAAGTCAATTTTTAATAGAACGCGAAAATTTTCAAAATGTTAAATCACGCTACATTATTTCATGGAACGGTACAAACTTACGCACGAGTGCTACAATTTACATATACACAACGTACATGTGTATATGTAAATTGTACTTAAAATTTGATTTTTGGAACAATGACAGAAATTAAAATGAAATATAGAAGTAAATTACAATTATCGAACACACACTCTTTACGCCTAATAATTCGCATTATTGTCGATATGAAAGCTATCGTCAACAAAAATAGTAAACAAGAGCTTTCTTTACGCATATTTTATTATATATTTCAGAAAAGATTTATAAAATTATGTTTAATAAAAATTTAAAAAAAAAGGAAGAAAATAATTAATTAATATAAATAATAGGATATAAATAAATGTAAATAATTTACTTCTCCAACTTTCTTATATGTATTAACTAGATCATAAATATTAAAAAATGGGTCATAAATGTTAAAATCTAAATTTGGAAAAATTGTAACTCTACATATTTAAAAAGATATAATTTATACTTACGGCTAGGAGACACATAACAAGTATACAAGTCTTCATTTTTAATTTTTCTAATTGTAAGACGCGTATAGAAGTTATGAGAAGTATCTTTTATAGTGTACTGAGAATATTTCGACAATGTATTTATTCTCAAGAGAATCCCTACAAAATGATTGTTAACGAAATTTACACTCATATTTATTGCATATATCATATACGCATGCGCATATTATGCACAAATACATTAGACGTGTAATCATATTGCGTCAAAACTTTGCACATAAAATAATAAAATAAAATCATAATAACATTTTAATACACATCTTTATCGATCATATTTACAAAATTTAATAAAAAAAATATAAAATATATAATAATATAATAAATATAAAATGTACTACATAAAAAAATAGAAGATCATATATTTTGACTTCCAAAAATAAAGAGAAAGAGAGCATATAACTTTGTTAAAAATAATATACACTACATAATATTTATTATATATGTAATATTTATTATTATATTTATTATTATATTTAATATTATTTACTTTCAATTTTTAATTACAATAAATGTTCAAAGTGTTTCCCATTTAATTCGATACACGCTTGGACATGTCGGATCATGGACTGTCACATTCTTTCAAAGATCTTGGGACAATTGCGAACGGTACCACAAGTATTAAAGTGCCTTCGCGTAGCATACCTTCAGTGACAATTTGAACTTTAATAAATAAATTAAGGATTTTAAATGACCTTAAAGATACAAATCTACAGGATTTAGATCGCATAATACTCAAATATTTGAGTTATATTTCAGTAACAGTGGATGGACATATATTCGTATTAACATTTTTTATGTTTTGGTGTAAAAAGCTCGGCCCTGAAATTTATTACCTTATTTTTCATTTTTTTTTTGTTACATTTTTTTGTCATTGTATATATCAAATCGTGAATACCATTTAACGCGCTAAAATAAATTTTTATCGTTTCAGTATTTATTATTACTTGAGTACATTGAACACATTATTCCATCCAGGAGGAAACATATAATAAAATATGTTTTTTGTATTAAATACATTTTTTCTGACAAATGTGTGAAAGCGTGCCAGCTTGTACATATATCTAAATACTTTTTTATCAAAGTTCGTGTAAACTGTCTAATAAAAAAGTAATAATAATGTTGATAAGTTAATAGTTTTTTTCAACACATGATTGAAAAATATAGACGTAAATTTTTTTGACGCATGAGATTTTATTAAGCAATTATATTTTAATAGCTTATATGCATATATAGTGCACTATGGCAGAAGTCTCGAATATTTCTAGGAATACTTTCTGAGAATGGAGTATGTACAGACACTTTTTTGATGTATAAAATTTTTATCGAGAATTTATAATTTTAGTAGTTATATGTACGCACAGGTAGAAGCTTTTTAAATACTTTTTGGAATAGAAAATCTACATTAACAGCACGTCATTTCGTAATGTTATTAAAACGTAAAACAGATAATTCAATATTATTATCATTGATTAATAATTACCTGTTTTGGTGAATTAATTAAACAAGATCTGCCTGAACACAATGAGTGATTGCTTAGACGATATATTCCTAGATTCTATTTAGCAGGCATTGTCAAATTCAAAATCAAACTCGAGTATCTTGTATGTTACAATATATTAATGCATTTGTTGATTTAAGCAACAAATGTTCTTCAATGATTAATAAAATTCATTGATTTGTTGTTGTATACATTTTTATGCGATTTTTAGGAAATATTACTCTAAAAATTTGGTTTTTATATTTTAATTGCAAAAATTGAAAAATATGCAATTGTATTAACCGCGGAATTCATAATTTTCTGAATTTTTAAACGCCATAATTACGTGATATTCTTCGCAATATATTAGATTAATTTAAAGATTTTAACGAAATTATTGGCTCATTGCCCTTATCTCTTTATATTAGTTGTTGAATGCATATTGAGCCTTATCATAAATATTTGAATTTTTGAATTTCTTTTCTACGAAAATTTAAAAAACATATAAAGGTATAAAGTTAAATATGATATAAATCATAACTTATAAATTTATTATTTATATTTAATACGTATACTTAGATTAGATATTATTCATAAAAAATTTTACTCGAAACAATAATATTTATTACTGATAACAAATTAAAATAATGTTATCGGTTCATAATTAATGTAAAAAGTAAGGTTTAATGAAAATACTTTGAAAAAAATAAACACTATTATGCATAATATTTTATTGTTAGTATAACATATTGGTTTCAATTTAATAACTACAATAATTACAAAAACAGCATAGATGAGTTATAAGAAAACAGATAATTTTATATATGTATAATTGGCATAAAATAAACATTATCCAAAATTAATGATATTTATACTTTTGATAATAATCTCTTTTTACGCGTTTTCTTCTTTTGGTTTCACAATCATACCCATCACACCATGCAGTATAATACATTCTAGCTTCCTGCTGGTTTTCTCAAAGTTGGAGCCAAGCTTTTCATCTTCTATAATTAAAAAAAAAACAGAAAACTATAGTATTTAATTCAAAATTTCATCATAAAACATAAATCTCTTATGTTTTATTAAAAGTAAACTATTTATTTATAAAATATGTATATATAATTGGTTACCTTTTTCTATGCACCAAGTAACGACCCTGTAGCAATATTCCAAATGCTCGTCCATCATAACAGCCTTACAGTAATCAATACCTTTTTTCTTTATTACTTCGTCATCTTTAGTAACCTACAAATAGTAATCGTATTTAATATTATTGTGTTATTAAATAGTACATACGATATTTAAAACTGAAACATTTATTCTCTTATATATCTTGATTATATTATTTTAAATTTTCTTTCTTTGCTAATTAAAATACATAATCAAAAGTTGCTATTAAATTATTGGCGCATTATATTAAATCCGGTAAATATTTTAAGAAACTACAACCTTGGCCAAAGATATTAGGCATTTATTTAGGAAACAAAGAATATGATATTTTAAATCATTCGTATCATGTTTACACGTTTCTTAAAAGATTTTAGCAACAACACCATCAAATAGAGCTAAGTTTTTAGCTTTAAGAATCTTATTTTAAAATTGCAGTTCGATTTTTTGTTACTGAATTATCGCGGATTAAGTAAAAAGTGAGCACTTTGACTTTAATTGCTCATTAAAAATTATCGTACCACAATTTTAAAATAAGATTCTTAAAGCTAAAAACTTAGCTCTATTTGATGGTGTTGTTGCTAAAATCTTTTAAGAAACGTGTAAACATAATACAAATGATTTAAAATATCATATTCTTTGTTTCCTAGATAAATACCTAATATCTTTGGTCAAGGCTGTATACATTATATATTCTAGAGTCAAGCACAATATATATATAAATTCTTAGCAAAAGTAAATAAAATTACATTAATTAGGGAATGTGAATATTCTGATCACCGCACGCATATACGGGGTGTTTGTGAAGTAACGAAAAATTTTATCGCATAGGAGTAGAATTGACTAAACTGAGAAGAAAAAGTCCTCTACCATTTTACAATATTTTCACAATAGTTAACGAGATATTATGATATTAATTTATAAAAATATCCAAATACGCGCGGCTCACCGCCAAGGCTGCGTTCGGAAATGTCACCCAGGTTTCCCCGAGTATCATCTTATGCTTGTTGTTCATTCAATGTTAAACAAAGATAAGATGATACACAGTATTCGAGTGATATTTCCGAACGCAGCCCAAATGTAAGCGCGCGGTTGAATACGACCGCCCATCGAGGCGCGCCGCGCGCGTTTGCCGTCGCTAGACACGGCAAACGGCAATGGGCATTATCTAGCGACGATCATTGCTTCTTGTTTAGTCCATTCTACCCCTATGCGAAAAAATTTTTCATTACTTCTCAAACACCCTGTATATATGTGTTTGTGTATGTGTGTGTTTTAATTTTTTTATATAATTTCTATTTTTTTAATAAATTCATACCACGCCAACTCTTTTCAATGCACAATGCCATGCAGGGACGCTTACTAAAGGATTTCCTGCAACATAAATTACAAATTTATTAATATAATTTCAAATACATATACGTTCTTACAATTAAATTTATATGAAAAACACTTATTTAAAAACCAATATATAACTTTGCTTAAATTAATATGAATTTTTAAACTTCTTTATTTCTCTATGCTTATGTTAGTGATATTTCAATTCTTAGAGGTGTCATACTCTTGAAATACTTTGACTAAAATATTACACGAAATATTGGTCAAAGTCTATTTCAATTTGTTATTTTCTTTTATAAATTTTTTTTATAAATCTTTGGGTTTTGATAATTGTTTCGTTCTGTGCTGGACTTTAACTCTTTTCAAGTTTATCCGTTTAAAATGTCATTTAGTTAAAGTAAAAGACATATTACTTTCTCCCGTTTTGTTGGCAAAACGTAAATAGATTTATCTCAATTCTATTTAATATAAACATGTACAATTTTCAATGTTTAAAAACTCATTGCTTTATATTGAAAATGAGTACTTTATACTTTAAATTTTAATAAAATTAAATAAATTTATATTAAGTTGACTTTTGAACAATAGCGAGAATTTTTTTTAAATAGAAGAAACCAAAGTTAGTTTTTAAAATTAATTCTTTTAGTTATCAAAGAGAACAGTATTTTTATACATAATATATGTAATCTTTGTGATATTCTACTATTCCACTTTAGTTTGGCAGTCATAATTGAAATGTAGAAAACGCTACGTCTGTTCATGTAATTTTCATTGTTAGGATTAAATATTTTATCGTTCGAATTTGTTTTATTGGATACATAAATTAAGATATGTTATCATTTTTATGTGGGGCATTCCATGCCAAGTGGGCCACCCAATTTTTGGGCTTTCTCGCCGCAGCACTCTTTTCGCTTGTCATTAGTGGGCATGAGAGGCAAGTTTGAAAATGAAATGTAGAAGTTACCTTATAGAAAATTGAACGCTCTTTCACGTAAGAATACTCTTTTTTCGATCAGACCGGTTTAAGACGATGTTTGTCAGTAAAATGAGGAAAATGAGTGGTGCGGCAGGGGGACGGAGCGACATTGCCTCACTTTCCTAGCTCTTACTCCCAAACGAATGCGTGTCCCATTAAGTCCTTTTAGAGTAACAAAGTAGAGACCTAGAGCTACATTTTGAGCTATATTAAAAGAAAATTGAGACTGGCCTTTTAGGCGCGCCGCCATTTTAAAAACTTCAAAACTGACAAACATCGTCGTAAACCGGTCGAAAAAAAAGTATTCTTACGTGAAAGAGCGTTCAATTTTCTATAAGGTAACTTCTACATTTCATTTTCAAACTTGCCTCTCATGCCCACTAATGACAAGCGAAAAGAGCGCTGCGACGAGAAAGCCCAAAAATTGACGGCTCTATAGTTCGGCAACCAGTTGGCCTACAGGTATATTATTTAGCATAGAGTCTTTATTCATCAAACTGTTCAAGTTCAAGCAATATGAATGAAATCCATGAAACTTCGCAAAATGAGTGGCCCACTTGGCGTGGAATGCCCCATATATTTCCTAGATCTTTACATTTGTTCTGTATAGCTAATAATGATTTTGATTAATATACTTTGAAGTAGGAGTACACTTTTAGAAATTAATTTCTTTCTAAAATTTTATTTGTCGAATGTAATTAACGTTTTATGGTAACTTAATATTCAATATTTTAATGTTTAATATTGTATACTTACTCTTTAAATTTTCGCATTTCGGCAATTCCTTTACACACTGCTCTAAGTTCTCAAATAGAATTTTTACTCCTTCTGGATCTTTTCCATAAGTTACCTAACATTGAAAAAAAACTGATACTATATTCATGTATGAACATTTTATACATAAGTATTTTAGTTTATTTAATATATGAAAATGATATAATTTCTTTTAGCTATAATATAAAATAATTATAGATATATTTAATAAATCATAGTGTAATATAATAATCATATTTATTAATTTCTATTTTTCAAACAATTTTATTTATTTAATTCAGACAATTAAATTTTTTTAATATTCCTAAAGTGTCCCGAATTTAAATGATCAAACTTTAAGAATACGCGAAGGGAATCGATACTAAAAAAAAATTCTTTTAAGATATTCGTTTTAGAAAACAGTGCAAAAAAAGACAAAACGTAATTTTCGGAATATTATCGTTTTCAAGACGGAATATTATTGTGTGTGTGTTTCCGTGTACGATTTCAGCGATAATACTTCAGAGGAAATGCGAAAGTATGCTCGCCGATTTCCAGACAGAAGAGTGCCTGATTAGCGAGACATTACGTTGACTAGATTAGTCTTTGGCTGTAATACGAATTAACTACAAGATGCAATGCGTGCATTGCTGCAAGATGCCAACATTTTGAACAATATTTGTATTAAACAAGTGACAAAGTGAATAAGTAAATGTGAATGAATAAAAGTAATAAATGAGTATAAAAATAAAAACTATATTTTATTTTGTGATTTTTCCATAGCAAAGCAAAAATGAGCATGTCTCTAAAGATTCATTTTTCTTATCGATTTCCCTTATCTATCGATTTCCTATACACTCGCGAAGTTGGCCATTTAAATTCGGGATACCCTCTATATCATTAATTCCCAAAATGTATCACAAATCGGTTTTTAGTGGATTGAAAATTTTCATGTTAAATTACACTTCGTTATTTCATGTAACTATACAGACTTACGCACGCGCATCACTATTTTGTACCTATCTGAAATTAAATTTTCAACAATATTAGGAATCAAAATCAAATATCAGAATATATATATATATATATATATATAAATTACGATTATCAAACTTTGCACCTATAGTTCGCATCAATATTAATATCAAGATTACAGTGAACATAAATATAATATTATAGTAAACAAGCGAAATCTTCCGTTATATATTTAAGAAGTAGATTTATATAAAATTAATATTTAATAAAAATTAAAAAAATAGAAAGACAAAATAAATTAATATAAATAATATATATATATATATATGATATAAATAAATAATTTATTCTCCTTTCTGCTTTTTTATTTATATTTATAAATTAGATGGATATTACTTTTGTTCTAAAAAATGGATCGCGATCTATACAAATTTGGGAAACCCTAATTAAGTATTTGAAAAATATAATTTGTACTTACGGCTAGCAGGCACATGAAAAGTATGAAAATCTTCATTCTTTTACTTTTTTGTAAGACGTATAGAAGTTATGAGAAACTTTTTCTATATAGTGTATTGAGAATATCTCGACACGTATTTATTCTCAAAAATAAATCTACCGAAAGATTGTCAATGACGTTTATACATATATTTATTGCACATATCGTACACGAATATTACACACGGATACACATATTACGCATATAACTATCAAACACGTTTTATATAAAACAATAAAATAAAATCGTAACAACATTTTGATACATATTTTTATCGATCACATTAATAAGATATACAATATAATAATGTAATAAATATAAAATGCACTACGTCAAAAAAATAAAAGATCATATTATCTGACTTTCAAAAATAAGGAATTTATAAGAGAGCACACTTCGTCAAAAGTAATGAGTTGATCCAGAAATGATTTTAAGGCTTTCATATAGCAAAAAATCAATTACATTGTTATTTAAAACACCAATCTAAAAGTATAAAAATAAAAAAAAACAAATTTTTTGCAAAATTATAGAATTAGGCTTAGATAATTTCTTCTATTCTAAATCTGAAAAATAGAATAAATGAAGAATCAATTCGAAGCCGAATTCCATAATTTTGCATGGAATTCGTTTTTCTTTTTCAGTTTTATTTGCGTCTAAATTTCTCGCTCGCTTTAAACGACTACCAAACGTAAAAAACGTGTCAATTCTGATTAAAATTTAGTTTGGAAGAGTTTAAATACTCGTACTTTCCAGATGTGACATCAAATGAATTGTGGCATCTCATAAAGATTTATGATTTATCAAACTTATCAAATCATCCTATACGAAATATAATGTACAATATGTTTGTGTGCAATAAGCATATCATATATATATAATTCTCTTACTTTACCATGCTTTGACATAAAAATATTAAAATAACAGCATTTAATAAGATCTAATACACAATATAGCCTATTTGCTGTTTATAGATAGCTACATTATTAAATCTTTACTCATGTAAATATTGAAACTGTCTTATATTTCCAATTAATGTTTAGAAATGTTTTTTATTTTGAATCTGCAACTATCAGTTTTCGATTCAACAAAAATCACAGATAGGATATGTCTAACTATATCCATGATACAGTTACCTTACATCCAATTAAGTATGATTGAAGATTTTGTTTACGTACAAAATGATTAACAACAACATCGTTTGCGCTTTCGAAATGTTGCGATTTTTGTTGAATCAAATATTCAAAATTGTCAGATTCAAAATAAGAAATATTCTGAATATTAATTGAAAATATTATGAGAGACATTTTTAATATTACATAAGTGTAATCAAAATTTAACTATCCATATAACTATCCACAAATAGTAAGTAGACCACATTGATTATTAAGCTTTACCAAATACAGTTTAATATTTTTGATGTCAAAGTACATATCTTATATGGTACCAAAATAAAAAAGTCATAATGCTATATAAATTTTATTTTAATTAACGCAACTTTGCGATAATTACTTTTGTTTAAAAAAAATATACATAGTTAATAATATTGTAATAGATTTCTTACGTTATAATATTTTTTTGTGTAAAATATATATATGTGTTTAAATTTAATTTTGTACAGAAAAAATTCAAAATAAGAAATCTTCCAATATTTAACATTTTTATCTAGCATACTATTCATCCAATTAATGCGTGCACTTGGTGCCTTACTTTACTTAAAAGAAATAATTTTTAAACAATAAAATATTTAATACATAAGAGCGAATGTTATTGCTTTTGGAATGTTATTGCTTTTAGTATAGTCACTTCATTATCAACGCATGCTGTATCGAACGATACATAAAATCGTTTATATATTTTATATAGCCTTTGATAAAAATAAAATATAATACGTTTTTACACCTTCATACATACGTGCATCTACGTGCGCGTAAATGCATATACTTATTTACTTATCATAGTACGTGTAGATTATATCTAAGAAGGAAGAATAAAATTTTTATTGACAATTCGGTTACTTCAACGCACGATTGAAACATTTGTACAATACGTAAAGTTGTAGTTTTTATTTTAAGTGCAAAAATTTTTTTTGATGAAATAATCGTCATAATTTCTATTATACATATACGTACGACAACATATTGCAACAATATATGCACGTACAACATATTGCAGTAAAAGTCACAATCGTCAAAATTGTAAATAAATGGTATCTCATGTGTAATTTGAAGTAAATATAGATGAAAAAGATAAAAAATAAATGCATTATTTCACTATTACGCATTATTTGCAGAATACACTGTACATTTAAGTCATTATAAATATTAATAGATATCTGTAATGTCGTTGTACCTTCGCTATCTATTACAAATTGTATATATTATAAAATGTTTATTTTAAATATTTCATAAACAATGTAAAAAATTATTTATAATTATACAATTTTCCAATTTTGTTTATTATTGCGAGCTGTTTTTTCAGTAGATATTAAATTCTTTTACAATTAACACAGAGATTTCGTGATTGAAATAGATTATGTATGTATAGATAAGAATACTTTTTCGTGATTAAAAAATTTTTTAATATTGTATGCTTGCTTTTTTCACATACAAACCAAACTTCTTTTATACAATACGCATGAATATTTAGTTTTTCGTAAAACATTTTTAAATATATGAACGATACAAGTAAACACAATGTAAACACAATTCAGAATCGAATTGCTTTTATTATAAAATAAAATATACTTTGTAGTATTCTGACATTTTTTGAAAATTTTTAATTATATATTGCATATAACAAATTTCTCCAAATAGACAGATTATATTAAGAATTACATCAAAGTTGAACTTTTCTGTAATTAATAATAGCTTCATAACTTTTATCTCGTTCATTTCAAATTTGCATGAATTAATTTGATAACATTCTTAAATCGTGGAAGCTTCTAATATAATGTTTGTGTGAATTTATATACTACGTATGTAGATCTCTAAATGCGCGCCAAAATATTTTTCCTATATTAGGTTCAATTTTTCGTATTGTTGGTACTTCCATCTTATATCTTCGTGTCGAAAGTTGTGTGTCTCTAAGTAGAGGGAAAGATGGGGTGGATCTTACTTCGCGTGAAAAGTGAATGTAATCGAGAATAAAAATTCAATACTTTAAGATGTTTATATCTCAGAAATTAGAAGAGTCTACCACGTGATTCAAAGTGAATCACTCAACATTATATCGACTTTAATTGTATTTAAAAAACAAAGTCATATTGGTGAAGTTTAATCTCTTCGCATTAATTACCAAAAATTCTGAGTGGAGACGTCAAAGTTAATTTTACTTTTTAAATGATTATATAGTTTTTAATACATCTACATTTGTATAGTCCAATTCATTACGGTTTCAATGCGTATGACTTAAAGGTCATCGAAGATCAAATGATCAAATCGTGACTATAATTTACAATATTATTACCTTCGTGTATGTTCAAAGTGCCGTCCTTGGCTACGAATATAGAAAGTAATATTATATAATTTCTAAATCGCGACGTATTCGATAATGTTATAACGTAATTATTGGCGAGATATTTTAACAATTGTAATTCACATTTTCAAGTCGATTGTCATTCTAATAAAAAAAAGTAAACAATTGAGAACGATAAGATTTCTATCAATTTGTATCATTTTCTATAAGTTTATATTATTTTCTGTAATCTCAACCTCGTGAGTATCAAGATTGATCGGATATGAATTCTATCGTATTTTATTGGGTTTTATAAGATTTATACAAGATTCTTATAAAATTTGAAATTATAAGATTTCAAATTAGTGAAGTCACGAACCAGATTTCATATTCAAAACGATTTTTCTATATTCTTTATCAACTTTTTTTTACCAGGATTATTCAATCTTCTGTATCTACGTACGATATCTCTAAGGTATCAGAGAAAAAATCTAACGTTAAGTCGGAGGATGGTAGCTGGCCAAGTAATAAGGAAACTTCTTTCACACAGAATCCAATCTTTTAGAAACATTTGATTCAGAATATTCCGAACTCTGCAAACGCTGCATAATTTGCAAGCGTGCCATCCTGCTGAAACAACAGTTTTTGTCCATCGGTTATAAGATCGACGTTCTCTAAAAGTTCCGGCAGTTTTTCTTCCAGAAACTCATTATAAACCATATTTGTAAGAGTATTATTGAAAAAATAAGAACCAATTACGTACTCGTAATACTGCACTAAACATTCAACGATCATGGTCTGATATGGTATGATATAATATTGTCAATCAATAAGAGTTTTCGCTGTCCAATAATATAAATTATGTCAATATATTCACACTACATTAATAAAAGTTTTATTAGAAAACAATACAAGAAAAAGTTGCCATCCCTCCGTATTATGTATTGAATCCAGTAAAAGTAGTTTATTTTTGAATGCTTGCACTAAATTAATATGAATAAAGTTGGAACTTAAATCTTCTTAATATCATGAAATGGTTGATCGCAAAATATTATAAACAGTATTAAATGAACACACATTGTGAGCACTACAGCAACAGCATGTAAAACTACAAACACACAATCAATAATTCCGATTAATTTCGGTCGAGTCCTATGAAATGATCTTATAGAAACCTTATGCAATTCCAAGTTGCTATGAATGCTTATTTGGATGTAGAACTATCGGTTGCGACACAAACATGCAGTAGCCCCGAAATTTCCGTGACATTTATTTAAAATCTTTTGCATTTATTTTTCCGCAAATATAATTAATTATATTAACGTAGTGCACAAAGATATGGAAACATAATTATGTACTTTCTTAATTCTTACCAATCTTCTTAATTATTTTTTTTTTGGCAATTTGTTTATGTGATATACACTGAGAAAAAGAAATTGTTAACTCAACTAAATTGGCGGTCACGGGCTGTCAAGCAAATATTTTGTTAATTCAAAAATAGGTTCTGTCGAAATAAATAAGTCATTGTTCAATGTACTACTGCGTATTTGACTCAAATACATTAATATTTCGACTAACAAAATATTTGCTTGACAGCCCGTGACCGCCAATTTAGTTGAGTCAACAATTTT